CCCCAAAACCCCAAAACCCCAAAACCCCAAAACCCCGCGTATATAAATATAAGTTGAACCTACCTATTTTAATTATTGAATTTTATTTATCAATATGGATTCCTCAAATGCCACTCGCAAAAAGTAGGTGGTGCCAATCTAGGATTAAATCCTTCTGGCTCATTTATGTTAATTTGCAATAGGTTTCAATGCAGCGACCTTGCATGCAAGAGACATGGAGAGTACTTCTGCAGAACCCATCAAATGTGCACATGCAAAGGCTGTGCTAGCAATATGCATTTCAAATGTGAACTCGTCATCACCCAAGATCTCACTGATATCAACATCTATGCGGTTGAGGTCAAAAGATTTGTGGAGAGACTATCCAAACTCACAGCCGAGAATGGTCTTGGAGCATACAACTCTCACATTGACAACGAACTGAAAGATTTATAGGACAGCCTTGTTGAGATCGAGAAGAAAATAAAAGATGCAATTACTCATGACCATTACGAGCAATTTGACACCCTTCAGTCTCAGATCAAACAGTAAGTTCCTCCTCCGCCTGCTAAATTGTCGCCTTCGTATCTTTTGATGTCTTTGGCTTAAACTTGTTGATCTTTTTAGGATCCAAATCCAGATGTCTGACAGCATTATCGTCAAAGATATTCTTTACTTTTCAACTCTCAGAGACACTACCATGTACAGTCTGCCCAAGATTGATGACTGTAAGCTCTTCCTTATTAAGCTTAGACTTATCATCTCCTACCAGAATTAAAAAGAAGATTGACGCAGTAGTCAAAGAAAATGCGGAGCTGATGGAGAAGAAGCTTCTTTCTAAATCTAAACAGATCGAGCAACAGTGCAAGGCCGAGCTCACCGAAGAATTCAAAGACGAGATCAACAGTCTGGAAGATTTCAAAACTCAGCTTGAAGAGGATTTAAAGGTCAAACTAGAGGAGATCAAGGAATCTAAGCTACAACACGATAAAGACCAGGAAGAAATATCCAAATTGTGCGAAGGTAAAATTTTATAAGATATGAATTGTAGAGGTAAAAGAAAGCCAAGGCCAACTTGAAGAAACAACAGAAGCCCTCAATTACCATCTTACAGATATTTGCAAAGACTTCGACCCTAATTCTAAAGACCTCACTCTGGACATGACTGATGGCAAATGCCAGAAACTAGTGAAGACCATGGGAGACTTCAGATATCCCCTCGGAGACATGAACGAATTAAGTATTGACCTTGTTGGCAATAAGGATGCTGCTCTCAAGACCTTTATGACTAATTCTTCCCTGTCTTCACTCAAGTCTTTTGTTTTTAATGATAGTTATAAAGGAGCTTGGGATGAAGAGGCTAGTGCAGTGAAAGTGAAATACTACGTGGACGGACTGAAGAAGGTGCTTCCTCACGTAACGAAAGAAGTGTATTTGAATAGGATCATAGCTGATGCTGATGACCTTAGCCTGATTGTGAAGTTATCGTCCAATGCTGAAAGGCTGACTGTTAGGCTTAGCAAAATATTAACTTCAGATTCTCTTGACTTCACATCCCCAACTCCATCCAAGATCACATATCTAAGTTTCTTTAACTGAGGACACGCAAATTGGTCCAACCAAGAATGGGATAAATACCCTGACAGATTCGAAAAAATCATCATTGCCATCAAGAACTCCTCTCTCAAAGACTCCCTCAAGACCCTCAACCTTAAAGAATGCAAAATCTCAATATCCAAAGCTACTTCTCTTCTATCCACCCACGGCCTGCCCCACATCTCCGTCATCCAAGAAGTCAACTGCCCAATATCCCTCTAAGTTCAGCTGCCAACACCTAATTTCAACCTGTCTTCCTCCACTTGGGGTTTTGGGGTTTTGGGGTTTTGGGG